CAATATCTTTATTTCTGTGTTGATCATTATTGTGAGAAAGATCGTTATTATAAGTAGCACTGTTATTGGTAGTGTCATTAATACCATCATTATTATTTCTGTTATTATTATCATTATTATAATATAATAATAATGATAATAATGGTAATAACAATTGCTATTATTATTTTATGCTTACTATTATCTTATCATCATTATTATCATGTTTAGTACGATTATTATTATTGGTATTATTATTATCATTACCATTATAATCATTCATCATCATCATCATAGGGGGGCATACGCATGGCTGCGCTTTGCCACGCCAACCTTTGCCTCCTCTTCCTGGGGTTCCTCCGAGCAAGCCTCCTTCCCACCCCCAGCACATCTTGGCAGATCTGGTCGACTTACTGAAGCCAAGAGTTCCGTGGCCTTCTTCTTGGTCTTCTCCAGCCTGGGTCAACCGTCTCAGAGATGACCCTATGAACCGGATCTTCCTCAGGAAAACGAGCCACATGCCCAAAGAGCTGAAGTTGGCGCTCTCATATCAGACAGGTAATAGGTCTTGAATCAGCCTCACGGAGTATCCTCTGATTGGACACATGGTCCCTCCAGATATACCCCATGATTCTGCGAAGACACTTACTACCAAAGGAGTCAAGGCGGGCCTTCAGAGCACAGTTCAGTGTCCAGGTCTCACCCATAGAGTAAGACCGGGATCCCCAGTGCTCTGAAGAGCCTGATCTTAGTTCTAGTCAAATACCGACAGCGCCAAATACTCCTATTGAAGGAGTCCATAACGCCGTAGGCCAGACCGAGTCGTCGAGTGACTCCCCGGTCGGAACCTCCGTCGCTCTGCACTACAAAACCAAGATAAGTGAAGCTATGTTATCAATGTTATCGCCACAGGCATGCACAGACTGAACATCGACATCCAAAAAGTCCCCAAATTCCTGAACCTTGGTCTTGGTCTAGTTGACCGAGAGTCCCAACGACTTTGTCTCCTCATGCAGCGCCTCGAGAGCTACTTCCAGGACCTCCAATGTCTCTGCTAGAATCACTGCATCATCGGCAAAGTCAAGGTCTGTGACCTTAAAATAACCAATTGATGCACCACAGAAACTACGGTTCACGGTACGGCCAAGTATCCAGTCCATACAAGTGTTGAAAAGGGGCCAGGACACATCCCTGTCTCACCCCGGCAGACACAGGGAAGAAGGCAGAGATGCCCTCCCCACACTTGACAGCACTCTCAGTATCTGTATACAAGCCAGACAGCAAACCAATAATTCCAGGGGGATCCCACGGAGACCCAGTAGGCTCCAGAGACGCTCCCGATGCACTGAGTCGAAAGCCTTCTTGAGATCAACATAAGCTGTAAGCATACCTTGTTGAAACTCAAGTTGGCGTTCCACAAGGACACGAAGGGCTAAGACACAGTCTATAGTTGACTTCTTGGGCGTAAAACCAGACTGCTCAGGTCTCTGTGCTCGTAGTAGGTGGTCGCGCACTCGTGCCAAAAGCAGATGAGCGAGGACCTTGCCTGGTACGCTGAGCAACCTCTAGTTGCCACAGTCCCTTTGGTCCCCTTTCCTTTTCCAGATAGGGATGCCCAAGCCCCTTTTCCAGTCAGGGGGAATGGTACCAGTCCCCCAAACGGCAGACAGGACTGCATGCATACCATAGATCATGGCTTCTCCACCTGCCTTCAACAACTCAGCAATCAATCAGACACCAGCAGCCTTTCCACTCTTCAGCCTAAAGACGGCTCACCTCTTCGGTGGAAGGTGGTGCCTCACTGATTGCTGGATCAGCCACTAGTGGCATTATTATTATTATCATCATCATTTTACTATTTCACTGTACACTCATCATTATTTTTTATTGTTCTTTTTGTTGATATTGTCGTTGTTATTGCCATCGCATTATAACAATAGCACTGATAACACACCGATGAAACTCGCGAGGAGAAAAATTAAGCTTTTCCTTTTTACTGAGTCAGGGACGAGACTTTCAACAGAAAACGGATTTATTGCTCTATCACAGAGACTCTTCATTTTAGGGGTGTCTATGACATTCTACAGTGTTCCTCAATATTTCAATATTACATACATACATACACACACACACACACACACACACACACACACACACACACACAAACACACACACACACAGACACACACACACACACATATATATATATATATATATATATATATATATATATATATATATATATATTATATATGTATGTATATATGTATATATATACTAGTGTTGCCACATGTCCTGTTTTCGTCCGGACAGTCCGGTTTTGACGTTTAATGTCCGGTGTCGGCAGAGACCCAGAACCGGACCATATAATGTCCGGTTTTGGTGAAATTTAAAAAACGAATGCCCCTCTCTAACATTCGATGGCTATTGTGTCACAAACAGCCGGACGTTGCTATCTGTACAGATAAGCATGGCGGCGCGCACGTGAGACGAGTTATGAGAAGTAAAAATCCCAGTTGGATAAAGCAGTCTAGTGATTGGTTATATAATATTTTTCTCTATTATTAACATAACATGCAATGCAGTAGGGTAAAGCAGTCTATACTATACTATAGTCCAAATAAAGCAGTTTGTTTTAAAGTCCAATGAAGCAAAAGATTTGCTACGGTGTGTTAAATCTGACACCAAATACAAGTTGAGACACGTATAAGTTCTTGGGTTTATGTTTTTGTGTTATTCACGTTTTTACTGAGCATGATCTTTAAATATATACAATAATTAATAATTAAGCTTCACACAAAAATATTGCTCTGTCCAACTGCAAATTCCGGTTCACAGCATCACAGGCTGATCCGACGGGGGGAGGGGGGGGGAGTCTAGGGCCCCGGGCCGATAAGTCCGGTTTTCGCGTCACACAAATGTGGCAACACGAACTGCCAGTTACCACCTTAGAGGTTATTTTTTTGACATTATGCCATAGAGAACAAATCAGCTCCCTCAGAGATAATGCCAACAAATGGCGTTAAGTAAATATTCCCATGGACGGGTTGGAAAAACATGTGTCAGCGTCTCTCATACGATAAAAGGTCTCCTTATTCTGACAACACTCAAAGGGATGTTCGTGCGTATGTATGAGAGAGAGAGAGAGAGAGAAGAGAGAGAGAGAGAGAGAGAGAGAGAGAGGGAGGGAGAGAGAGAGAGAGAGAGAGAGAGAGAGAGAGAGAGAGAGAGAGAGAGAGAGAGAGAGAGAGAGAGAAAATGAGATACAGACAGACAGATAGAGATAGATAGAGAGAGAGAGAATAATAGAGAGTGACAATGAGAGACAAAGACAGGCAGACAAACAGACAGATAGACATACATACATACAGACAGAAAGGCAAACAGAAACAGAACGTATGTGTTCCAACAGAATAATTCTAACCACAGTCAACACCGACGTGGTTGTTAATACTAAACCATTACATCTTCCTTTTCTTGTGGCAATTATCACCGTAGATTAACATCATCTGAATACTCTTTCTAGTGGTCTATCAAATAATAACCAGTTTCTTGATGATGTAATAAATTTTAGTATCTCTTGTTTTTTTTGTTTTTTCTTTTCTTTTTTAATTCAACCATAGATTCGCTTCTTTTCTCTTCTTTAAAATTTTCTAAAATTCGTTTATTTTTTCTTGTTAACTTTTCTCTTTTTTCGAGTGATTCAGACCAGGAGATGAAAACGTGGGTTCGTTTATAGTCAGGGTGATAATAAATACAACATATGTGGCAGTTTTGTGATTGTCTGTATGCCTTTCTGTATCTTTTAGGTTTGGATTTTCTCCCATAAGCTCGAGGACCCTTACACCTTGACTTTCAAAAATATTTGTACTATTTTTTGAGAAAGACGCGAGGAGATGTACCTACTCAGTTCTGAAAACTTTTTGCACATTTTCTCGCTATGTTGAAAAAAAAGAGAAATGTCATTAAAATACGATATTGCAAAGCTATAGCATAAATCCAAAATTGAAACCATCGAAAAAAGGGGAAAATCCATACCAGGAATGTATTTTTTCAGGTTAAAACGAAGCCAGTGCCATCTACAAGACTTATGACTCTCGCCTCAAGTATAGAGAGAAAAAAAGCCAAAGTTTGATTCTACTAATGCAGTGTGTCGAGTAAATATGTGGCCTGAATACGTTCGTCTATTGGCATGCTATTGTATGTGGATATATCAATGTAGAGTGAAAATGAAAAAAAAAATATATATGTATAGACTGCGAACGATACTGATAGAGTATGATGAAGTTTATTTATTTTCAAATGCGAATGCCTCGTTACGCGTCTCCCTGTCTCTCTCTGTCTCTTCCTCTCTCTCTTTCTATTTCTCTATTTCATTTTCTAACAAAGGAAATGGGATTAATCTCACTTTATTCAGAAGGATACCGAGGTATTTTGAAAATGTTCATATATTCATAATAAAAAAAAAAAAACTTTCTTCTTTATAATCAATTATTTTTTTATAAAGTCGTTAACAACCGTAAATGATTTCCTGTTATGCAATCCTTAATGTTTAAGGATGCAATTTGTGTTTTACTTAGCCTGTTGATATTGTGATTTTCATTGTTTTTTTATTATTTTTATTTTCCTATATTAGCTTTTTTATTTTTACAAACTTACGTCTGTTACCTCTACTATAGTTAGGAAATATGGTCAGAGTCATTCAAACTCGATCATAACAAGTTGTCAAAACACCTTCTGTAATATTTTCCTTTTCAGGATAACAGTGTAGGAAGTTTTTAGCAATAGATGGCAAAATATGTTTATATTACATAAATCGTTAACTGTTCCTCAGTAACTGAAACGAATTTCATATCAAAAGTATAAAATGTGAATATCAAAATTTCATAATATACCGTCATACAAACTGTAATTGCAATAACCTAAACCGGGCAGTGTTAAAAAAAACTTCTTTATATCTAGAAATATCCCCACTTCTATAACAACAAATTAAGGATACAAAATAAAACTCCACCATTACAAAAAAAAAAAAAAAATCGAAATATTTATTACGTCCCTTTCTTTCCCGGAACGAAGTCCTTAGCACACTCGAAATACGAATCAGGTTTATACTCGAATAACAGAAAATCGTTCTCGTATTTATCGGCCAATTTCTGCATGAGGTCGAAGGGTAACTGGGAGTAATAGGAACACACGATTTCGCTGTTGGTGGCGCCCCCTGAGGTGGGGTTGTCCCATCTCGGCTGAACTTGCGAAGTGCGGTTGAGGTACTCCAGAAACTGCTTCCCTTCCTGGTAGAGGGATTCGAACCTGTTGGAATGGCGTTCGATTAGGTTTGTGTGGATGGATAGACGGTATGGTGTGGGTAAGAAAGGCGAGGGAGATAGATAAATAGATAGAGAGATAAATATATAGATAGACTGAGAGATAGACATATGTAAATAGATAGATAAAGAAAGAGAGAGAGAGAGAGAGAGAGAGAGAGAGAGAGACAGAGAGAGAGAGACAGAGAGAGAGAGAGAGAGAGAGAGAGAGCTTACTATCTATATAATAGAAACTCCTATCAATGAAAAACAACATTAATAATATTAGTAATCAGAATGTCCCGAACTTAGCCATAATAACAATACTGATAACAACAATATTAATAATAATAAATACATTTTACTCTTTCGTGGAGATCGACAAAAAAGACGTTTTCACAACATGTACACAGCATGAAAAAGGAAAACAGCCACAGTAAGAAATGAAACAAAAATATGTATGTATGTATGTGTGCATGTATGTATGTATGTATGTATGTGTACATGTATGTATGTATGTATGTATGTATATGTGTATGCATATGTGTGTGTGTGTGTGTGTGTGTGTGTGTGTGTGTGTGTTATATATAAATGCACAACAGACTCCACGGCCCCTCTGACCTGAGGACGAAGTCATAATCCATAAGACACGGCGAGCAGTGGCTGTAGTAGGTCCTCCAGTGCTCGTCCTCAAACTTAACGTCGACCACGTACTGGACGAACTCGAGGAAGGTCGGACCCACGGGACTGGCGAAAGGATTGTTTCTCAGGACCACGGGCAGCCCCGCCATCACCTTGTTCCGGACTTGTTCTTGTAGGAGGCCGAGCTGTTAGAGGTGGAGGGGGGGGGGTGTAGATGGAGGAGGAGGAGGAGGGGTGTGGTGGAGGAGGGGGTAGTGGAGGGAAGGGGAAAGAGTAGATTCAAATTATAATATTGTTTGTGTTTTTTAGTTCTTATGTGAATTACCTCTTACGGTAAAAAAATATATATATATTTAATAAGATTGTCTATAAGCTACCATGCTCGGGGATTGTATGCTTATCAAACTATACGAATTTTTTTGACAAAAAAAAGACAAAAAAAGCAGCTTTCCCTATTCTCTTGGCAATTTGTTTAACAATCCTAAACCTATCCTAACAATCCTTAACTTATCCCAACAACCCTGACCCTACCCTCAACAGCCCTAAACCTATCCTAACAACCCGAATCCTATCCCAACAACCCTAAACCTACCCTTAACAACCATAAACCTATCCCAACAACTCTGACCCTACCCTCAACAGCCCTAAACCTACCCTTAACAGCCCTAAACCTATCCTAACAACCCTAAACCTACCCTCAGCAGCCCTAAACCTATCCCAACAACCCTAAACCTACCCTCAGCAGCCCTAAACCTATCCCAACAACCCTAAACCTACCCTCAACAACCCTAAACCTATCCCAACAACCCTAAACCTACCCTCAACAACCCTAAACCTATCCCAACAACCCTGACCCTACCCTCAGCAGCCCTAAACCTCTCCCACCAACCCCCCCACAACACACCCCAACGACCCACCTGTCCCTCGCTGATGTACTTGGGGAACTCCCTATAGCGCCGGACCATTTTCTCGCCGTAGCGCTTGTAGTAATAGGATTTCTTCCCGTACTCGAACTTGTCTCTGAAGCAGGAGAGGAGGCGCTCGAAGGGGTGGCGGACGATCATGAACTTGGTCGTCCTCCGGGCTACCTGGAGGAGGAGAGAGCAGAGGGCGTGGGTTAGGTGGGCGGGCTGTGGGCGTTGTTGAGGTGTGGGCAGAGAGAGAGGTGATGGTGGGAGGTATGGGGGGACAGGAAATTGGAGAACGTCGGAGGCGGAGGGTGTGGGGTGGGGGGGGGGAAGAAGGGGGGGAGAGGAAAGGAGGGAAAAGGGAGAGGGAGGGAGGGAGGGAGAGAGAGAGGGGAGAGAGAGAGAGAGAGAGAGAGAGAGAGAGAGGGGGGGGGGAGGTGCAGCTTGTAAAGACGCAAATATAAATTTTAAATGTACTATACTTTGTATAAACACTCACATTGTCACATGCGGATGCATATGTACATACATACATACATACATACAGACATATATACATACATACATATGTACATACATATATATATAAATGTGCATATATCCATAAATATACGTAAATATGTATATATATATATATATATATATATATATATACATATATATGTATATATCTATACATAAACATACACACACACACACACAAACACAAACACACACACACACACACACACACACACATTCACACATACATACGTACACATACACCCTCCCACACACCCAAGGAGAGGAAGAGACCGGATTCAGGCCACCTACAGAGCCTGCGCCGTCCACCCCAGAAGGACAGAAACGAGTTGGAGAGGAAGAGAAAGGGAAAGGACAAGACACAGAGAGCGAGAGATAGATAGATAGAGAGAGAGAGAGCGGCCGTGAGCTCCTCTCTGTCCCAGCAGTGTCGAAACAAGAAGAGAAAACCCGTTTTACTTGGCTTTACGACAGGGAAAGGAAGACCAGTCCGCTAACCTTGGATCTGCCATATGAGTATCGTTAAAACTTAAGACGCGATTAGGAGAGGCAGTCTTGCGTGGTGGTGATGTTGGCGATAAGGAGGACTTAAGTTATCAATAAAAAAAGTTTTATTACTACTAATAATGACAAGAGTATTAATAACCTGATTTACATTAATGATGGTGATAACATATAAACCGCAGCTTCCGCTACCACCACCAATAACAACAACAACAATAATAATGACTAATAACAGCAATAAACATACTCATACCCACATATCCACATACCCACGTACCTATGGAGGAAAGGGTGAGGTTGGATTCGACTGAGACACTATACACCGCATTAAATGGGCAATAACGAGTTAATGAGGAAGAGAAAGAGAGAGAGAAAGGGAAAGGGAAAGGGAAAGAGATAGAGAGAGTGACAGAGAGGCTCAGCAACAATGATAACATAAATAATAATAATAATAATAATCTTCTTGTTTTGTTGTCGCTTTGCCCTGTTCTTATAAGAGGTCGCTATACAATCTGGTTATGGCAGATAATAATAATAGTAATAATAATATTACAAATAGGCCTCCTCCACCCAGGGTTGTCTGGAACAGAGACAACCTGGTGGACATTGTAGCTCATAATAATAATGATAATGATAATAATGATAATGATAATAATAATAATAATAATAATAATAATAATAATATTAATAATAATAATAATAATAATAATAATAACAATAACAAAACAACGACAACAATAATAATAATAATAACAAAGCAACAGCAACAGCAACAGCAATAATAATAATAATAATAATGTTTACCTAATCTCTGGTACGTAAGTGCAAGTTTCCCATTTTCCAATTCAGCAACTAACACCTACATGAGGACAGGCATGACGTCAACCAACATGAAGTCTCATTCAGTCCCGTGTGTAATTGAATGTATTATCTCATTAATATAACTATTTAAATACTCACAAGAAGTAACGTATTATATCTACACATATTTCATAAACAAACTAAATAATCCAAACAGAAAAATCCAAAAGGACTAAAATAATAATAATAATAATAATTTCAGTAAACACAGATTTCACCAAACTCAAAACACGCACCGAAGCAGCAGCTCGTCCATCATTAAAGGAGATTTTACTTCCACAATTAACGCTAAACACTCATCCGCCAAGGGAAGTGCGTGACGACCAAGTAATCCTGAGCGTGGGAAAGGAACCGTAAGGAACAGCTGACGACAAAACAGCTGATGCAGAAACACTACGCTGGTTGGGGCTACTACATCATATGCTGTCGGTGGTATGTTAGGGTATGGGGTATGAGGCATGGGTTGATGAGGGTTATCGTGTGGATGTGGGTGTATGGTATGAAATAAATGTGGGTATGTTTGAGTGTGTGTGTGTGTGACAAACAACGACAACTAATAATAATAATAATAACAAAGCAACAACAACAGCAACAGCAATAATAATAATAATAATAATGTTTACCTAAGTGCAAGTTTCCCATTTTCCAATTCAGCAACTAACACCTACATGAGGACAGGCATGACGTCAACCAACATGAAGTCTCATTCAGTCCCGTGTGTAATTGAATGTATTATCTCATTAATATAACTATTTAAATACTCACAAGAAGTAATGTATTATATCTACACATATTTCATAAACAAACTAAATAATCCAAACAGAAAAATCCAAAAGGACTAAAAAAAATAATAATAATAATTTCAGTAAACACAGATTTCACCAAACTCAAAACACGCACCGAAGCAGCAGCTCGTCCATCATTAAAGGAGATTTTACTTCCACAATTAACGCTAAACACTCATCCGCCAAGGGAAGTGCGTGACGACCAAGTAATCCTGAGCGTGGGAAAGGATATTTGTGTGTGTGTATGTGTGTGTGTGTGTGTGTGTGTGTGTGTGTGTGTGTGTGTGTGTGTGTGTGTGCGTGCGCGTGTGTGGTGTACGATTTCTTGTAAATTAACTCATTATCAATCTCTTGACGTAATATATGTGTACGTGTCTATACGCACACGCCGACACGAGGGCAGTACATGAACACCCACGTTATCTCACAGTGAACCTCCACGAGACGATATTTTCTAAGCTCCGTTATCCCAGCACTTTACATATATACATCAACATTTCCTACTTCTTTCCGCATATCACCATTTCGAAAGACCCTTTAAAATGTAAATAAAACCCCCTTTACCCTAAATAAAAAAACAGCTATCCCCTAACCCCCCCCCCCTAAAAAACAAAACAAAAAAAAAAAAAACATAAAATAGGAATTAAAAAAGGGTTTTTGCATCAGGAGCTCACCGCGGGTCCAGCGAGATTCGATATCTTGGGGTACACTTGGCTGACGAGTTTCTGCAAGGGAATGTTCTTGGCGCGCTTGTAGCCGCCGATTTCGAGGAGGGTGATGGTCCAGGAGGTGCTGGCGGCCTTGTACACCGGGCAGAACGTCAGGAGGTTTATTCTGTGGAAGGAAAAGGTGTAAAAGGTCAAGAAAGTTCTCGGGTTAGCGCGTGGCAGGTCCCTTGCCTGCGTGCGATTGTGAGATGATGACATGGATTATGATGTGGGGGATTGCAGACGAGTATAACATATAAATATGGGGCCATACTTTCTCTCTCTCTCTCTCTCTCTCTCTCTGTCTCTCTCTCTCTCTCTCTCTCTCTCTCTCTCTCTGTCTGTCTCTGTCTCTCTCTCTCTCTCTCTCGGTCTCTCTCTCTCTCTCTCTCTCTCTCTCTCTCTCTCTCTCTTTCTATCTTACTTTCTGTCTGGCCATACTTTCTCTCTGCCTGTCTGTCTTTGTCTTTGTCTCTGTCTGTCTGTCTCTTTCACACACACACACACACACACACACACACACACACACACACACACACACACACACACACACACACACACACACACACACAGTCAACGCCCACCTGTCGAAAATAAGATTGTGTATATCCACGAGGCCGGGCGGCGGCCCGCGGGAGTCGAAGGAGGTGTTGGGAACAGCCAGGTGAGGACACGTCGCCCTCACGTGGCTGACTCGCCGCTCCTGCTCAGTCAGGAACTTCCGCAAGGGCTGTGGGAGAGGACGGACTTAATTAAGGTGTCTAATTCATATGATATTTATTCATTTATTTTGGGGGGTTCTTTTTTTTTTTTTTTGGGGGGGTTGGTTTATTCATATTTATGGAAAAGGAATCAAGAAATGGATGTATTGAGAATTAGTTATTTTTTTTATCGTTTCTTCGTATTTACAGAAGTAACCTATTATGTTTACTGAGGTGCAGTATTTTGACTCCTACGTGTTTCTTTCACTCAAGTTGAACAATAACGAAAAATAGAATGGAACCTACTTTATATTACAGACTAAATTTTCACACATATCTGAATAGAATAAGACCTACTTCGTAACTATTATATTGCAGAATAGTAATTACAATTAGACTCCAGTTAAGGCAATATTGGAAAGGCAGCATCGACAAAACCCTCGCATTCCTCACCGACTTCTCGGGAAACCCGAGCGCCCTCTCCTTCAGCACCTCGCGGGAGAACTTCTCATTGGGCGGAGGTCTCGCGTCACGCCCCTTGCCGGAGATTCTTGCGGGCTTCTTGACTCTGGAGGAGAGCTTCGTCTTCAGGACCTCGACGAACTCTGCCGGGGTGTAGTCGGGGTAGTCCTGCACGTAGGAGTCGTGCTCCTCGCCGTCTGCAATGCCCTGTCGCACGTACGAACCTCCCGCCTCGTCGATTCTCCTCGAGCTGTTCGTCTTCGAAGCTTCGCCGTTTCGCGAGCTCGGGTTTCGTTCCTGTTTCTCCCCCGTGCGATCTCCCGGATCACCCGTGTCGTTTCCCTTCGGTTCTCGTTGGTTCTTCGCGTCCTCCTGGGCTGCCTCGTCTCCAGGACCTCCTTCCCCGGCGCCCTGTCGGCTGGAATTCACGGCGTCCTTCTCCCCTTGCGACGCCGCCTGGCTGACTCGCAGGTCGTACTCCTTGAAGGGATCCGAATACACTCTCTTACTTAACGCTCCCGCTGGTTCTGTTTTGGACTGATTATTCGCCGACGGAAGGCCGTGCGTCGCTGACACCCGGAAGAAGTGTTGGCTGACGGCGGAGGGCGACAGGTTCAGGAGGAAGAGCGTGAGTGTCAGCACCAGCGTCAGGAGGGCGAAGCTTCTCAGCCGGAACTTGAAGATCTTCATGGTCGCCTGGAAAGGAAGATCGGATTTTGAGTGGATTGAAGGCGCATTATTTCTCTTTGTATTTATTTATCTGTTGTTTAAATGTACTTCGCCTTAAATCTCCTTTTTTCCCTCCAGTACAAGTGTATTTGATGATTTCGTACATTGCTGTTAATTCAGATACCAGATCTGCATTGTATTTTTATGTAATAATCTGACGCACAAAAAACACAACAAACAAAAACGGGGGACGTGACAGACTTCGTGTGTTTATAAGCGTATGTGTGATCACACGCACACACACACAATCACGCACACATACACTCTGTATATGTGTGTGTGTGTGTGTGTGTGTGTGTGTGTGTGTGTGTGTGTGTGTGTGTGTGTAAGCTATATATATATGTGTGTGCATGTGTATATATATACAATGTATATCGACGCCGAATTTCAGTCGATGTCGGCTTTGGCATTATTGACTTTTTTCTGCCTGGACTACGCTTTTACGCCAGTTAAGCATTGTAGCTTATAAGTGGTAACTGCCACTCCCTGTGTTGTGTCGAAGCTGTGTAGTGTCGCTGGAGTGAGCCGGAGTCCATCAGCTGCGTGGAAAGAGGTAGCTCGCTGCATGGACAACAGCTTGCTCCTCACATTCCTTCGCCCAGGTACTGGCTCTACCGTCTTTCTATAAGGGTGTCTTCCCCCACTGGAAAGGACACTACAGCGACACTTCCCAAGCGTCGGCATAGAGCAGCAATTACCAGTTATAAGTTACAATGCTCAATTGGCTTATACATGTATACGCTCTCGCTCTCTCTCTCTCTCTCTCTCTCTCTCTCTCTCTCTCTCTCTCTCTCTCTCTCTCTCTCTCTCTCTCTCTCTCTCACACACACACACACACACATACATATAAGCGCGGAACCGTGCTCATTGCGACGGATGTAGAAAAGGTATGAATACGAGTGAATAGCTTCACAGCACAAAAGACACATTTGACTGTTTTCGATTATAACTTCGTCAGAAAAATATACATTTGCGAGAATACAAAGTATAAACATGTCAAACATGAGCAGATATTTTGGAAATACATCGCCATGATGGTTTATGTAGATGAAGTGGACATCTACCGATCTGGAAGGAAGCGGTAGTGACCCATGGAGGACTGAATAAACAAAAAGTAAAACAGTTGACGCTGCATACATCGCGACGGAGGAATATATAGACAGTGCATCGGACAGCTTCAAATTATCCAAGGTCGTGGCAACATTTATGCAGATAACGGCGACAGGTCACGGACGTCAGGAGCTTTTTCATTTCATGTCAGAAAATAAATATATATATATGTGTGTGTGAGTGTGTGTGTGTGTGTGTGTGTGTGTGTGTGTGTGTGTGTGTGTGTGTGTGTGTGTGTGATTAGTAATTTCGCTGATCAATGTATTTATGGCTATAGTCGAAACCTCTTGCAATGAAGATTCTCATTTTCATTCACACTTATTCAAAACATAAGCACTATCGACAAAAAGGTCGACCTGCCAAAGACACGCAAATATATAATCAAAATAAAACACACCAATCCAAAACATATATCAATAAACATAAACACACATTCCCATGCACACATACTCCCCTATGTGATATATAACACATATATAAACACATAAATAAATATTTAACAGACTGTACACCTACATAAAGTCCCATGACTAAACAGAATGACAATCTCACGAGAAACAAAGCAATACAAAATACCACGGTAAACCACGAGAGGCAAACACAGTTCCGGGGCCTTTGTTGGACCGGCACACACGTCGCTCGGGAAGAAACGTTTACATTTGGCTCATAAGGGAGCAGGCCATGTCATGCACATGGGAGCAAAAAGAAAGGGGTTGGCAAGCACATGCATGCACGCCAGCATGTACGAAGATATAGCAAACAGTGTCTCGTGTGTGTGTGTGTGTGTGTGTGTGTGTGTGTGTGTGTGTGTGTGTGTGTGTGTGTGTGTGTGTGCGCGCGTGCGCGTGTGTGTGCATTACTTCTAGTAAAAGTATGTAAACAAAAGAATATCTTGACGTTTGTTCTTTTTTTTTTTTTTACTTTCAGGTCATATGACAGAAAGAAAACATCATATAGGTAAATGACAATGTAATAACGATGACTATGACCAAGAGGATAATAAACACTAGATAATAATGATAAACGACGAGGATGGTGATAAAAATAATAACGATGATACAGACGTTCGCAATGATGATAATAATACCTTTTAAAACAACTAAAACACAAAGAAATCAAGGCAGAAGACTGACATGCCATTCCCTTCGCTGGCAACTCAGCCAAAGTATTTTCATGCCCTCTTAGTAACAGCGACCTAGCGATAGATAGGTAAGATAGATGGTTAAAGAAGCAGAGAAATATTGTACACGTGTGAGTGAAATAGATGACGTGGTTTTATATATATATAGAGGCAGATAGAAACAAGTATATAGATCAATAAAAACACTGAGTATGTTAAAGTGTGTTTAGGTAGATAGATAGATAGATAGATGGTTAAAGAATCAGAGAAAGATTGTTTGTACACGTGTGAGTGAAAGCGATGACGTGGTTTTATATGTATACGTATACAGAACGAGGTATATAGATCAATAGAAAGAATGAGTTATATTAAAGTGTGTTTAGATAGATGGATGGATAGAGTTAGAGAAAGATTATTCGTACTTGTGTGAAAGGTGCCGTAATTTTATAAATACGTGTATATATAGGCAGACAGAAAGAGATACAGATCAATAGAACGAATTTGAATAAAACTGTGTGTTTACATAAGCGTATCCACTTGCCTGTACGTATATACGTTCACTTAAAACATTTCTTACCCACGGGATCCACACGGGCGCTATCTCTCACAACAAAAACCGAACTGACTGTCTCCCCCTCCTTGACCTTAGTATCAAGTCAATGTTTATTAGCGAACGATTAATCAAAAAATTCCAATCTCCCAGCTACCCTCCTTCTCCCTCTCGTCTCCCTCTCTCGTGGTTTATTCCTGGCAGGTGAAGTAATGGATCCCTTGCACTCCCCTTCCCCCCCTCCCCCCCTCCAAAAGGTGCCAGAGGTAGTTTCCCGACGACAGGTGTTCTGCTAATAGTAATTTCCTCGGTCTGCCAACAATGGTTTATTGGCAACAGTAGCAAGCATATGTCAGCAGTTACTTCCTGACAACATATTACTAAGACTAGGAAGTATTTTTTTCCGAATAGGATTTCGTGGCTGTTAGCAGTAATACCCTGACAACGGTATCAACTACTTTTCTACGATCATTCTCAGGCAACGCATTCAAATGGCGATTATCAGCTACTTTTTGACAACCTCCCAGAAAAAGATATTTACAGCGAATTTCTGAGAAAAGTAACACGTCCTTGCCAGCTTCAAGGCGTGGAAATTTCTCACTATTCCATTCCGCTGATATCTTCTATATTTTTTTATGATCATTATTTTATTTATATATTCATTTTCTATATCTACGTATGATAACGGAATATCTGTACTGGTTTGTAGCTTCATGTCTTTTACATATTTGCACTTTTTAATTCTGTGTAGTCAAATTGCTGTCTTTCAGTACTTTCAGTAGATTTTAATAATGTTCAATCAAATACTGAATTAAATATCTTAATTCATAGGAATGCGCTTATCAAATGTAAACGACGTAATGTGAGTTATGAACCACCCATGTGACTTTTATTTATTTATTACCTTCGCCAAGGAGATTATGTTTTTGACGGCGTTGGTTTGTTGGTTTGTTTGTTTGTTAGCAGCCTAGCTCAAAAAGTGCTGGCCGGATTTCATCGAAATTTTGGAGACAAGTCAGAAAGGGACTAACTTGAAACTGATTAAATTTTGGTGACATTCCGAATTACCGTCTGGACGCAGCCAAAGTATATATATTATATACGCACCTTGGCGGAGGTCTGCACTCTCTGAGTGCTTTTCTAGTTTATTTATTTTAGTCCATTTGAATTGAGCGAAAAAGTTTACAAATACACAGACGAATAAATACATGCAAGTATATATATATATATATATATATATATATATATATATATATATATATATACATATATATATATATTAACATTGACCAACATTTGCCAAGTCGGTGAAGAACCTCAGTTTATAAATATTAATTTTACTGCATTATATACACCACACGCACACAAAAACACTCGATAATTCAACAAAAACTCAAAGTAAAAAAAATAGAGGAAACGAAGGTAGACTGATATACCGTTTCCTTCATAGAGAGGAGCACGTAATGGAGGCAAAGACATACATTTGTTTATTTATCTTTATTTATTTTTATTTTGTTTATTGTGCATTTATTTTGTTTGTTTATTTCTATCGATATTGTTCGCTTATGCTCTGGGTTGTTTGCGCTTCTTAATTCCTCTCTTCTGCTCGTGTTGGGAGATAGACAGAGAGAAGGAGAGAGAGAGAAAGAAGGAGAGAGAGAGAGAGGAGAGGGAGAGGGAGAGAAGAGAAGAAGAGAGAGAGAGAGAGAGAGAGGGAGAGAGAGAGAGAGAGAGAGAGAGAGAGAGAGAGAGAGAGAGAGAGAAAGCGAGAGAGAAAGAGAGAGATACAGACAGACAGACAGAAAAAACGAAAGTGAAACACAAATACATACTCCAAACAAACGGAAACAAAATCAGAAAAAAAGTCACAAAGACAGACAATCTACCGCAGTCCACCGATCGTCTTCCTCGCCCACTCTTCATTGAGAAATACCAACATACACACCATGAGAAAAGACACAAACGAACGGGTTATGAAGCGCTTTGGTTGCGCTGCGGTTGAGTAGTCAGCTGCTACTGGTCTTTTCTGCGCGAATTATTAACGCTATCATTGTTATTATTATTATTGGTACTATAATTAGTATATTTTTTATCGCTGTTATTCATGGCATTGTCATTGGTATCATTATTATTATTATCGTAAATCATTAGTATTATCGTTAGCACCTTTATTCTTATTAATGTCCTTGTCAT